GGGACACCATTGGATGTTTTACACCTGAAGTTCATGTAGGAGAAAATTTTCTTAGGTTGTGCTGTTGCATTTTGAGCCAGATGTGCTTCGAACTTCATCCTTGATTGGTGGATTTCTGCAATGGCTTTGTTCCTAGCGGTGTTGTGTAATTTTCTGCTCTCAGGAGTCTCAAGTGTGGCAAACAGGTGTTAACTCCTGTTTGTGGCGTCTCAATGATTTCTGCAGAGCTTCGTTTTATCACTTGTGTCCATATTTGTCGTTCACCAGTTTTTCAGTAAATGTTTGTGGCTATTATCAGGAACTTTCCAAAACAGTAATTGTAGTAAGGAATTTATGTTTTTTTTTCCCTTACAGTTTCCAAGTCAATGTCACTTTCAAGTTGCTTATTGTACTCTGTTGGCTATTCGTGAATTTTTAATTGAAAAGCTTCTGTTTTCATTTACAGTGGTACCGAATGAACGCATTGGCACCTGGATACAATGGCAACCAACCTACCCTTCCTATATCAGTGGATATCAAAAAATCTTTTGACGGAATTATGTTTAGTCACCGGTATACCAGTTGGGTTCAAGTAGAAGATGCTCTAAGTCAGCTAGAATCAGTTCGATATATATATATATATATATGACAGTATTCCTAGGCAACTCATACACATGTAATCAAGAGGTGCATACGGAACCATGAATCTCCGGAGTTGAAGTACAAACTAGTAGTCTTTCGTTGTACATATGGCTTGAAGCGAAAAACTAGAGGTTCAGGTTTGCGCATCAAACCGTAAGAATTCTATTGTTTATTTCTGCAGTGCAAAATACACCGGTTGCCAATCTGGCTTTCGTACATGCTACAAGGAGGACGAGTTTATCATTTGTTCCGCGAAAACAGTTCACAATCACAGATGTGAACAAAGTCTTATGATAGGTGATCCATATTTTAGACGCCTGTCCGGCGATGAAAAGGAGAATATTGCACCTGTTGTGAAAACTTCATATGATGTTGGTGGTTTTGGAATATGCTGAAGAGAATTTTAATAAAATGTTGACGATCACAGATGTGTATAATTTGCGTAAGGATGTGAGACCAGGTAACAGGTGTAGTTTAAAGTTATTTTGGAAGCCATGCCTTTGAGATCAGACGTTATGCGCATAATAAGGCAAAGCGGTCAGGTGGTTGAATACGTAGATTCTAATACAGGGATAACCAGCAGAATTTGCTTCGCCCTGGATTCACAGGTGCAGTTATATCGGAAATATGGTGAGGTGGTGTGTATTGACTCAACATACAATAGCAATAAGGACAGGTGGGTTATAGGTGAAACGGTTGAAAAATCTTAATCAGATATTCTCTGTTTCAGTTGGTGGTAACAGACAATATGGGTCATGGCAGGCCTGTTTTTTGGCATGGACGAGACGAGAAAGGTCGTGTAATGTAGCTTGGATCTTGGAACAATTCAAAGGATAATTCAGGGTACGTCCATTACAGAAACTTTCGTAAGTGAGATATCCGCCGTGCGTAATAGTCACATTCAGGCGAAAATCGTCATCTGTGCATTTCATGTATGCCGGGCTTTCAGCAGGAAGGTGGGGTGAATTTAATTAATATTTGATGCATTTAGACTCCAAATCCTCTTGTACGCAGGTTTTTATATCGTCTTGTTAAAGCTGCGACACCTGAAAGGTAAATGCACTGATTTCTAACCATTTAGATTTCATCACTACCTTAGCGTCATTAGGACGGTTGATCGGAGGGTATGGAATTTTGTCAGGCATTACTGGGTGCCTAAGAAGGAGACGTGGGCTGAGGCATATATGCCGAATACTCTGTTGCTGTTTAATAGTGCCAACAATAGAGTTGAAAGCTCTCACATTCACCTAAAACGATATCTCCACAGAAGAGATCCCCTACACGTATGTATGTACAAGACGTATAAATGGTGTGTACACACAGAAAAGCGTCGGGGTGTTGAAGTCATCGTCGAAAGTTGTCGGATTCATTAGTACCACGCACCAGAACCAGTTATGCCGATATTACGAAACTTCACTCCTTATGCCGCTAAGTTAATTGCCAAGGACTATAGCCGTAATCGTCGAATGAGCATAGAGTTGTATACTGATGATATGGCTATCATAAATGACGGCATATACCTTCACCAAGTGGATTATACCAATTCAACTTGTACCTGCAGAATTTTTAGGGTACAAAGAATACCTTGCCGGCATATGCTGCTGTGTCACACTCAAATTCCTCAGTTTACAGGTAAATCAAACTCTTACTGATATTTAAATCAATACTTTTAGTTGACAAAGTAATTCGCCTGTGTCGCAGATGGTTTTGGCGGGATCCGTTACTACCAAGTAGTGTGCCGTGTGAAAGTTCACTAAAGAAACCCTGCAGGGAGATACTGCAACTTCGCCGGCAATTGAACAGAAGCTTCGCAGTTATGCAAGATAATTTTAGTAATGAATACACGATTAGTGCACTGCGCGCAATCCTGAATCACTTTAAGACTTTTCTTGTCTGAAAGTGGAAGATGTACATATATTTTGTGTCAATAACTGCAAATATACCCTAACTTCTAAACTGCATACGCCTTACGTTTTACCGTTTCATGTGACAAAAGTTTTATAGTCATTTGCGAATATAGTAGAAAGCATTTTATAGAGAGCAAGTAGAAGTGAGTGCTAGGCGGAATCTTCGGTACTTAGTATGAGAAGTAAGGTAAGCTTCTTTTCTTGTAAGTACGCAATGAAAAGATAATGACGAGTTTTTGTAATTAGCATTGTATTTACTATGTAGATAATGTTATTACAAGCATACGTTGCTATAACGTGTCTAGTCTTGGGTATCGCTGCATCAGTTACATAAATAGCAATTGTAGCGTTTTCCAGTCAGTAAAATTTCGACGTTTCGTACGACAAACTTTGCGGAAGGTAGATGAAATTAAAGACTGCTTCCAGACGATGCGTACAACGGCATCTTAGGCAATGTCTACAAAGACAAAAATAAGATAATTAGAAGACAAGTTAAAATGCATAGGTAAATAAGTCAAGTACTGTTTTGGAATAAAGGAGATTACTAGTATTATTACAAAGTCTTCCACTCATTTCATTTCTTTTGACTGCTACTATTTCTTGCGTCGGCGTTACTTCCTCATAGTTCACTGTTACTTCTTCGTTGCACCCTATTTACACAGTGCAAGAAATTGAGAAAATGAATGCAATACTTAGGATACGGCAATAATAAGGGTATAAGCAGATTAACACTGCAGTGAGGTGCAACAGTAATAATAATTTGCTTTGTTCGAAAACAGTATTAATGTTACAGTGTTGAATTTGCAGCATCCCGTACATTATTGCATCTAATTTTATGAAGTAATATTCGAAACAGTTGTAAAGATTGCATTACAGGATTGTTAAGGACACTTCATATTTGGTATTAGTAGTGACAGTGAAATCACATACATATATTTATTAACCAGAAGAAATTGTAAATAATAGGGTTGGTAACTGAAATTGTCAGTTAATTGAGGTAGTGTCACCGTAGATTAAAAGTAGATAATAAAAGGGCCACTTATTTACCTAACAACACAGTAATTCATAAGTCTTACGCTTTACGTCGCCTCTGCCACATAGAACACTGATCGTCTACATGTGGTATCACTGAGTTCCCACGCTTGGTTGAACGACCATACAATCTTTTATACTGACTTCTGGTTCCATCAGATGAAATTAAAGGGAAGAGCTGAGAATAGAGGGGATGTTGAGGGTTAGACAGTATTGATTTATACCATTTCTCGCATTACTTTAGATGTCAACTAATGCATTAACGAGTTGCCCTCATCATAATCTTAATACCCTGCACGATATGACATAGCCGCTTTTGAGTAATTCAGGAAAGAATAAGGCGGAGAAGTAAAGACCAATGCAAGAGTTAACAAATTGTAAAAATAGAGGTTGAATGACTCCGGATTGTCTTGGCTACATAACGTGGTAAGCTGCAATGAAGGTTATCGTAGAAATCGACAAGATATAGAGTGACCAAGAAAGACCAGAGGATAGAACTACTCCAAGGTATTTCATGTTAGACTTAGTTTATGTTTCAGTGCCCTCTTTGATAGAAGCATCTTGTGAACGACACAGTTCTCGTAGTTCGCGCTTAAGAGTGAAAGGAAAAATAACTGCCTGCAATTTAGAGGGATTTAACGTAAGATCATGTACCTTAGACTACCGACAGGAAGCAGTTAATTTTGCTGCAGCCACATTGTAACATGACAGGAAGTGAGACGGTCAGATCACCAGCGTATTTGACGAAGTTGGTCTTATTAGAAAGAGGAATGTCATGTAAGACGAGAGAGAAAAAGAAAAGGAGAGATAAAAATACCCTGAGGAACACCAGCTTCAGCAAGCAAGGCGGGAGATTTACCTTAATATACAGTATGCTGCATTCCATTTGAGAAATGATAATGCAACCAATCACCTGCACAGGACTCGTGCTTGCACGACCGAAACCTTACTCAACCAATGTCATCTACGTCCTTAGTCAACAACGGCATATGCTGAATGACTGAAAGCTTTGCACAAAAGTGATAGAGCACAAAAAACACTTGCGAAGTGGGAGACGAGTCCCGGGTGGAAGAAGAGATCACTGAAAGGTATCTATTTGTCATTTAGCAAAGAACAAGATTAAGAACTGCAATTATCATTTGTTGACATTCTGGAGATCATTATTCAGTGTTTCGCACTTAGTTATGCCTGGTCTGTGTCATTCTGCCTGTCTTTCAGTATGACTTCGCGAAGAAGTCCAGCAGCTTAGTTTACTACATTCCATGCACCACACAAAGATAGAGACATAAAACTAAATGGAAGTTTAACGAGCGAAAATTTGAGGGAGAATAAATAGAGACAACATGAGTTGAATAGATACCTGAGATTACACAGAGTGAATGCATCTGTGCCGTAAACAAAGACTTGCAGACATATATCTAGTAGTTCTTCTAGCTGACTGTCAACGATTTTATGAACCAATACCAGCTTTTCATTTGACCGAACCAACCACATTTGGAACCTTAACATGTGCTGGCTAACATTATCCCTCGAGGATAGCGACGGCTTGGTATGCCATCACGTGTCATAGCCATCTCAACCTATTCAGCTTCCCTACCTTGAAGACTAACCCTACCCACATAAAAATGTATGCGTAGCGTCAATAGCAATCGCCATATTATACTGCTTTACTCATGAGATAGAACACAGACACCTATAATCAAACACCGGTATTCTTTTCATATTTTCCAGCATCAGGATAGTCTATAGACTATCCTACTGATACACGTGTGATTGGATTGAAACGATATAAGGATGACAGTTTAAGAATTCAGCCTTGTGTTACATCCCAATAGGAAATGTGTTTTCTGGGTTAATTCGCAAACAGTAATCACTGAATAGAAAAAATTCTGTAGAATTTATGAAACTCATTAACTGACGCACTACTTTTGCAGGCAATATAGTGTTCCCTCAATAAAGCGAGATTTGTATATTTTGGGTGCATAAAATGAGTAAGTGGTATCCTGGCAATACCAATGAATACAACAAGTCTAGGAATTATGCACTACAACTTTTACTTTACTGAATACTCCAGATGTTAAATAAACCCTTGACCAGTATCAAATTTATAAAGGAAGTCAGTAAGATTTAGTAAACTGAAATCACTTTCGGTTTACAGTTCATTGACATTGACAACATTTTTTTATAGCTGATCACTTCGTTGAAAAATCGATCCAGCACAGCATCCTGTGGACTACCAGGACTTACACTCGCGACTGAATTACAGTTCAGTAGAATTTCTGAAAAACCTTGTTCCGCAGCAAAATTCCATACTTTATTATTACAACCACTATTTGATGATAATACACTTGACGATAAACGACTATCACTTAAATCTACATAAACACTCTGACTTTGTGGCTGATGTTGAAAGCCTGGAATTGGCACCGATGCTGTAGTCAGTTGATGATGACTATTATTCTGATAGATATTTTGATGTTGATATGTTGAATTCCATGAGGCTACCGAAGCTGATGATGACGATGATTGTGGTGTATCTTCAAAAAACTGTACAGATGAGATACGCGATTTAGGCGTCATCATAATACTTGGATAAGAGTAGTTATTATCAGGCGACACGCCTTCATTACGATGATGATGCTGATAGCTTGATGACAACATGCACGAAGGCGTTGCGGTTGTTTCATCAAAACGTGAAGTAACTCTACGCAATGATCGTAGACAACGTCGACCAAGGAGATCGAGTTTTGTACCGATTACTAAGACCGGTGGATAGATTTGATCTCTTGTATCATTGATATTATTGTTATTATTATTATTTGTTAGCGATTCAATTGGTGAAAAGAAACGATTGACTATATTGTTCTCTGTGCTACGAATAGGCAGTAAACTCGCCATTTGACTAGTGGTCATGTTGACTTTTACACCATTACTGCTGCTGCTGACTAAGAAAGCGGTACCACCAACACTCCTTCCAGCTGTTGTTGCGGTTGATTTTGTTGTTGTTGCTCCTCCTCCACTGCTGACTCCTCCCAAATCAGCTGATTCTGATTTTTTCATAATTTGTTTTTCCAATACATCACATAGCCATTTTCTTAAATTTGCTTGTGATTTACTATTTGTACAATCATAGACTAATATTAATCCGTGTAAGTTTTGATAAAATATTGATCGAGTATTAGCATGTCCATTCGACCCGCCAATATCCCATAATTCAATAAAGTATGGACGTTCTTTTGTTGGATCCGATTTACACAGATGAACTTTAATATCCACACTACAACCAATTGTATAAGATGGATTTAGAAGAGGTTGTTGATTGCAAATTAAATGAACTAGGGCTGTTTTACCAACTCCAGAATCACCGCCTACAACAACTTTTGCCTTCTCAAATTCCATGGACAACAGCAACAACAAAAAGAACAAAATTATTTTACTGTTATCCTCTTTCTTTACACAATATGGATTATATAAGAAAACGTAGCCACCATAATTATAGAAAC